TGGTTTTTCAGCATCTTACCTGTCAGAGTATAATGAGCAAATTCCCTGATCTCAAGGGGAATACTATTCAGGGCTTACTACTACTTTGTGCCCTTCTTCTCTCTGAGACACGAGCCCTCAGATTTTGGATGTTTGGCATTCCTAAACCTGAAATTTCCTCTTCAATTAGTGAAAAAAATCATTGTTAGTTTATGTCTCTCAACAGCCACTCTCTGCCTAGCTGTCCAGCTTTGTATTCAACACCAGTTGGGACTTATCCTGTGGGAAAGAGGAATATGTGTAAAGTTGGTCTTACTTCAGTGATCTTTCTTTTCCCATGAAGTCTGGCCTTTTATGTCTTAGCTGCTTTAGTAATTCTAATCTGTCTTCAAACAGATTTCTTGTTAAAAATGCTATCTGACTATTCCAATTCTTGGTAAGCATTGTTTCACTGTTATAGTCAGAAGTGAAAGTTCTGCATTGAGTTTTGAAGGGCAAATTGAGGTTGGCAAGTAGTAAATAGGATATAGTATTACAGGCAAAAAAACTAGTATTATAAAAGCATGAAGTGGATAGAAACTATACTTTGTCTTCTGGACATAGAATTCTAAGAACAGAGGTAGCACAAGATGGAAGAGGGATGAGTTTAGAGAGATATTCTGTGTCAATGTAAACAAATACTTCAACTTTCTAAGTAACTAATATTTTTATCCTACAGATATTGTAGTGCCATTAATGAATTTTTGATATAGAAATTATATAAGATACATAGTTTAAAAATAACTCCTATGATATTGTAAAGAATGAATTTGAAAGTGGCAAGACCAGCAGGAAGATCTTCATTTCGGTTGGTGTTGCTGTAATTCAAGCAAGAAAGCCTGAGGATTTAAAGGAAGATATCAGCAGTGACAATAGGGAGAAAAACATCGAGTCAGTGTAATTTTGTGGTGGATGAAACATAATAAAAAGAAAGACTGATTTAGAAATAACTTAAATTTTTGACTGAAGGAAATTATTACCATTGAGCTATGTATGAAACACAGACAACAATTTGTCTAGGAAATTGGTTAGGGAAGAGAAGAATATATTGGACTTGTTGACTTTAAGATGCCTCAACTATGAAGATATACAGTAGTTGGTTATATTTACGTGCCTGGATATTATTGCAGAGATCTTGGCTAGAAAAATAGATTAGGATGTCATTGTGGGCTAGGTAATGGTTGTGAGAGTGGATAACTACCAAGGAAAAACTTGGTCTTTGTTTTCCACTAGCTATCTAGCTTAGTTACAGCTAATCAGTCCCTCCCAATGAAATCAAGATAAAACCCAGAAAGAGTGCTTCTGGAAGTTCTTATCAATTCGTTTGGACTGTAGCACATTTTAGGGTTTGCCAAAGTTCTTAATAGTCTTCATTGTGTGGTTGCTTTATGAAGTCTTTGGGCTATGTATTTAAGTCTTTTGTTTTTTTGTTTTTGTTTTTGTGTGTTATCAGGTGTCATTTTTCATTTCCATGTTTGGAACTCCCTTAAAGATCTCTAGTGGTAACAAATCCCTTAGCAGTTGCTTCTCTGGAAAAGATTTATTTTTCCTTTGCTTATGAAGCTTTGGTTGCATCTGAAATTATCAGTTGGATTATTTTTCTTTAAGAAAACAAAATAGGTCTCCAATTTCTTCTGACATCTGAGAAGTTCACTGTTAGGCTGATGGGGTTTCTTTTGTGAGTGATCTGGACTTTGTCCCTAGCTACCTTTAAGATTGTTTTTTTTAGTGTTGACCTTGAATAGTGTGGTGACTACATGCCTTGGTAGTAATGTTCATCATATGAACTATCCAATTTTGTCTACCGTTCCAGTGCATAAATAATTGGGAAATTTTGCAGAAGTATTATTATTCTGTAGATATAATATTGTTACAAGAGGCTTATAGAAAATAATTAGGTAGGATTCTAAAGAATTTTTGCTGTGTTTCTAAAATATTATTTGTTCTCAATACACATCATGCCCTCTTCCTGCTCCCAATAATCTACAATTCATTGCTTATAGACATATTAATCATGTAAGAATCAATCTCTAGATCCCAGGAGTGTTAAAAAGCCTTATTGTAAAGGGCTATAAAACTCTGAGTTTATTATTATTATGGAATGTATCTTATACTTTGCTTCCGTGCTCAAACTCTGAGTTTCTGAGTTCCTCTTGAGCATACCCATGCCCAGACTGGTCTCAAACTCCTGGGTTCAACAGATCCACTCACCTTGGCCTCCCAAAGTGCACAGACCACAAGCCTGAGCCACCACATGGAGCCTCTAATGATATTTGTAATCAGTTCATGCTTTTTAAGTATGCATCTCTAATTTCTACTTCATCTTCTGCACATTTCTTTTTAAAACTGAGCTTATCAGAAACACTCATGTGTAGGCCCTCTGCTTTTCATCTTCATCAGTATAGTGGTAAACATAATTGACAATTCATTATGGTTTTAATTAGAAAATATTTGTTAGTAATCCTTGGAAAATTAGTTTTCATAACTTAATGGTCTAGTGCAAGGATGTTTGCTTACCAGCATTGTTGGTGTTCTGATTATTCTGTGCAAGGTGACAGAAGGATTGAGGGGATAAAATGAAGTAAAGTATAAGAGCACTGTTCTAACAAGTTTGCCTGACTTTTTAAAAATCTCAAATGATGTAATTTCAACTTAATTCCAACAAATTAATAAAAGAGGATCAGATTATTTCACTAAACTATTTCTTCATCTCCTGAATATTATGGTGTCAGGGTAGAAATAACCTCAGATAAATTTTTTAAATCAACCCTAACAATGTAATTCTTTGTGCAATGAATTAGCTTAAAGTCCAAATCTAAAATTTGTTATGTTTGCAAAAATGATAGCTGTGCTTCTTTGTTTGGCTCACCCTGCTATTAACAAGAGATTAAGTTTCTTTTAAAACATTTTAGGGCCCGGTGCGGTGGCTCAAGCCTGTAATCCCAGCACTTTGAGAGGCTGAGGCGGGTGGATCACGAGGTCAAGAGATTGAGACCATCCTGGTCAACATGGTGAAATCCCATCTCTACTAAAAATACAAAATATTAGCTGGGCATGGTGGCATGTGCCTGTAATCCCAGCTACTCAGGAGGCTGAGGCAGGAGAATTGCCTGAACCCAGGAGGCAGAGGTTGCAGTGAGCTGAGATCACGCCATTGCACTCCAGCCTGGGTAACAGGAGCAAAACTCCATCTCAAAAAAACAAAACAAAAAAAACAGAAAAACAAAAAAACAAACAAAAAGGCATTTTAGAACTGCTAGAGAAAACTCAAGATTTTAGAGTACAGTATTGAAAAGTAGACACTGCAATAGACAAATTTTTTAAGATTAGGAAAGTAATTTATTTTCATACTGTGCTTGGAATACATTTTTTAATATATGAAGAATATTAAAGTAACACATGTTCTGGTAAACTTTAAATGCTAAAATAATGATATTAATACCATTCTATAAGCACTGATCTGTTTTAAATTTACATGTCTAACAATAAACTATTTTCACTAGCTATAATACTTTATGTTTGTGTTGACCTCATACTATGATAATGTGGAAAAAATATTTTAATTAAAAATAAAATGAGGAATTGTTGGAATGGTCCCTCAACAATACTGGTCTACTATTTGTAGTGCAAGGAAGTAAATCCATCATTGAGATAATTGTGCTCTTGGGTAGACAGATGAGTAAGAGTATTACCATTCTCAAAGAGCTTATCTTTTAAAGAATAAAACACAAATTAAATAATTAAAACTGTCAAATTAAAAGGACATCATATTAGAGAGCATTTAATTCCTACAAGGAGAATCACTGGAAAATTCCTGGAGGATTTAAGTGCCAAAGGATCAATAGTATATGCAGATGCATGGTTTCCCCGAACTAAATAACAAAAATAATGAAAGAAAATGGCATCCATTGACCACATATTGTGTTTATTATTCCTTTAAGTAAATTACACATAATGTGTCAATTAATTCTTAGAGCAATCTCAAGGAGATGTTATTTGTTCCATCTTACAGGTAAGGTAATTGAAGCCAAATAACTTACTCAAGGTTACGTCTTGTGTAGAAGATAGGTAAACCGTATGAACAAGACTGGAAGTTCTTAAATGTTTTTACAAGGCTGTTTGGTTTTCCTTAACCAATGGAAACTCAAGGAAGAGAGTCAATTTTGAGGGTTCTGGGAGGTGGGAAATATGAATGCAGTAAAAAGGAATGCAGAAAGACACAAAGAAGACGCTCCAGTTGAAGACATTGCAATAGTAAAGGGAACTGATGATGGAGATGTAAACTAAGGGCAAATAGAAGAAAACCTTATACTGATGGAACTGATGGAGCTTCCCTGTTGTGGGAGGAGCAGTAAGGACCAGAAGATGAGTCTATGTAAAGTCACACTATTTAAGAAGGTGGTAATGTATCACATTTTGAAAAAATGTTCTCATAAAAATCTGCTTTAAGTTTTGCACTCTTTAACATATACATCATTGTTTTAACTACCAGTATTTGGAACCACTTAGGTTTGTGCTAATAGTTATTAAATGATCAAAAAATGTTGATACCATTAAAATCTGCACTCTAGAAGCTATTTATGTGAGCACTTCTTCTTTCTCTATTGCATTACCTGCTCTCTTGCTTTCCTTGATCACTGCATGGAATTTATCTCTTTTATCTCTCTTAAACTCCTACCCATCTACTTTCTAAAAGTGTTTGAAGTATTGATTGTCCTGTCAATTCTTTAATCACATTGTATCATTCAGACTTTTTTCTACTTTAATAATTTATCTCTCTCTCTATTTAAAATCTCCCCTGCTATGTTTCTAAATATGTGTTTCTTTTTCACATACAAATACCTAAATAATTAGGTTGATTTTGTAGACATCTGGTAGTATTTTATGCTAATGTTAATAAACAAAATTTAGAAGACTTACAATAACTTTGTTCATTTATCTCAATTTCTAAATCAAAATAAGCATACAAAAGGAACCAAAAGTAAAACTTTGAAACATGATTAATTTTAATGTTTAAGGGAAATAATAAATCCACCATCAGAAAGAAGAATTACCAAAAGTGACATTTTACAGATTTTTAGTCTCAAAGCACAATACGTTTTTCATAGAAACAATATATCACCATTATATGCACCATAATATGGCAGTATTTATACACAAGGTCATTTACCATTTTAAAAAAAAAGTCAGTGGCAATGGTGATGTAATGCATTAGTTCATCTTTGTTCAACTTTTTGCTATTATACTTCCTGGCCTGCAGGAGTATTTGCCAGGATACAAGAGAAAATATGTGACCTCAATTTTAACAGTACATAAAAAGCTCTGGCTGCCCATGCTTAACCCTACATTTACTACATGATCACTAGATATGTTTTCATACCACCACTATGACTGTAATATATTTAATTTTAAGGACATTCCCAAGAAATCAAACATTTTAACAGACTCATTTGGATAATAAAGGATTATTTTATATCAAATAAGAAGTGCAATATCAGAACTTAATATCCTATATGCCTAAATTAAAAGAAGAAAAAAATTTACAGTTTTTAAGTGGAAAATTATTTGAGATTATTTGGAGCTGGTAATGGCATAACACTGAACTGGGGAAAATGTGATAAGGTTTCTTTCAGTTTTAGAGTTATTTTTAAATGTACTAGATGATTTTCTGAGGGCCATTCACATTCAATGTTCAGATTCATTTTATTAGTGGCATATACAAAGCACCATATTATATAATATATGAAATGTAGAACAATCATGACTATGTAATTGACTGTAGAAACAACTGCTAAGAAAATATAGCAATATTTAACACAGGATTTCTAAAACCATTACATTTTCATTACTTTCCCAAAGCCAATGTCCCATGTTTTACTTTATAGGCTTTGTCTATCAAGGTTTATATGCATTTGGCACTTTTTGGGGCTGAAAATAGTTGATGTACTCTGTACAGTAATGTTACAGTTTTATACAAAATTCAGAAATATTGCATTTGGAATCGTCTTTATGATCCTCTTCCAAGTATTCCGTTTCACATAACAGCAAATACTCTGAATGCCTTTCCTCCCGTAGGATTCTGTAAACTGCAAAAACATACGAAAAATATATTGATGTCATCTCTATACATAATCCTTCATATAAATCATGCTTTCTTATGACAGTCAAGAAAGCAGCTGTACAAATCCAGATGGTCAACCTTCTTAGGTTACTATAATTTATAGTTATTGGAAAGTTTGAATGAAGATGACATAACTATTAAATCTTAGATGTATGCTGGACTGCAAGTTTGCTAAAGACATTTAAGATGTGTAATGGTAATAATAGTAGTCTCTACAGAACTTCACAGATTCTAGATCATGTTTTCCTATATTACCTTTTTTCATTCTAATAAAGCAGAGTTCAACAGCTGTTATTCAATTTTACATGGGGAATACTGAGACTCAGATTTACAACTGATATGCATGGTTACAAGCTAAAAAGACAGCTGAGGCTGAGCCCAATGGCTCATGCCTGTAATCCCAGCACCTGGGAGGCTGAGGTGGATGGATGACAAGGTCAGGAGTTCAAGACCAGCCTGGCCAAGATGGTGAAACCCCATCTCTACTAAAAATACAAAAATTAGCTAGGCATGGTGGCAGGTGCATGTAATCCCAGCCACTCAGAAGGCTGAGGCAGGAGAGTCACTTGAACTCGCGGGGGCGGAGGTTGCAGTGAACAGAGATTGCACCACTGAACTACAGCCTGGATGACAGAGTGAGACTTCAACTCAAAAAAAAAAAAAAAAGACAGCTAGTACTTGAGCAATAATCTCTAGAGCACTAGAGCTTATTATCAGTGGCTAAGTCTGACAAAATTTAAATTACACTGCTATCACAGATTATTATTCTTAACATCTACAATTTCAAGGAAAATGTTGGTGAGGATATTTAATGGTCAAATCTGAAAGGACCTAAGAATATCTTCACTGAAATAAAACATACACACACACACACACACACACACCCCGAGCATTCAATCTCATTTTGAAAGTCCTTTTAAAATAGAAGTTAAAAGTAATGCAGACTCATAAATTTCACTCTTTATTAAATTGTTTCTATTTATTTAGCAACATAAATCAAGGTATGCTTTGTTTAAATGTCTAAAAGTTAAAACAGATTGGTAGTACCATTAATCATTATTTATTCAAATCAACTGTAAGCCTTTGAAGCTTTTACATAAACTTTTACTTTCTTAATAATTACAAAAGACTTTTGGAGCTCAAAAAAATAAATGCTAAAAAGAAACAAAGTGAAATTCCTCTCATATATTTATTCATGTACAAGAAAAAAGGGAGACAGTTTTAGAGTGAAGGGTTTCACAAGTATGCAACACACAACACATACACACATGTGCGTGCACACAGGCCAGGTATTTTTACAAGTAGATGGCCAATCCAAAGCCATTTTATTTATGAGAAACAGACTGATGGGGTGCCTTAGGAAGTGAATGTGTTTGGTGTGTTTCTTTTTTGTACACAGTTAAATACTGGAAAAATACGTATCTCTGAGCCTACAGACTGAGTCGTGAGATTTACAAGTTATGTGAACTTGGGCACATCATTTAACCCCTCGAAGTCTCAGTTAATATATATACGTATATATATAATATAGTGTATGTATATATACACACACATATATACACAGACATACCCACATGCATCTACATATACATATATGCACGCACATATACACACACATACACATATACCTCTGGGTATAGGACTGACATTTCAGGGCTGTTGAAGCTGAGCTAACATACTTAGAGTGCCCAGGAGCATCTAACATCTGGAATATTCATGGTAGGTACTCAAAAATAATTCTCTTTAAAATATATCTAAGAATTATTAGGCATAAATAAAACCACATCACTCAGTTTAGCTTATAAAATTACATTTTATAAGCTAAATTTTATAAGCTCAATTTTTCCATTTTATATATCATGGGGAATACTGAGCTTAAGGAGGCCATGAACAGGTTGTAGAGATGTCACATTCTTAACAATCACCTCTTGACATAGTCTAATATGAAAACAGATATTAATACAGATTTGTATTTTTGTAAGGATGACACCCAGATGGTTATGCGGAAGGTAATCTAGATACCCCGTGTGACACATCCCTTGGTGTCCCTTAGAAAAACTACTACACATGTGTGTGTCCTACATTGGCAATTTTGAAGAACCCAGGCAATACCTAAAAGTTAGGGATTTTTCTATCTCTATACAAATAAATAGGACATTTAATATTACTTTCAGAAGTACTAATGATTTTTAAAAATCACCATTGATTCATTCATTTTAATATGTATTAATACCTGATAAAGTGAGTTACATGAATTTTCTCAAATCACCAAAATATATGACGTTAGTGGGTGGGTTAAATAATATGAAATATGACTTGAAAGAGTTCATTTATATCATACTAGGCGTCCAACTTCAAATCAGTAAGAGAATTTGGCTCTAGGGAAAATCAGACATTGTTTTTGTCAAATACTTTGTCAGATAACTGGATTAGAGAAATATTCAGTGCCTTGCTCACCTAGAAAGAATTAAATATAAAAACTAATCTAGAAAATCCAAAAGAGGATGAAAGAAAGTTCCTAATTATAAGATCAATTAACAAAAGAGTAGTTCTGACTTGTAATCCGATTTTTCTTAGCCTGCAGGAGACAGGCACCTCTGGTACTACAGCTTCTCCCATCCCTGGAGGACTGACTGGTACACAAGTGTGCAAAGGAACACAGTGGCTCTGCCACTTAACTTTGAAAAAAGCTAAAAATGTTAAAGTGGGTCAACTGTAAAGCAATCATGAATAGAGTGATAGACGGCATTTACAAATATACATATATATGTCTTGTTTTTACCTTTCTGAGGAGATTCCATTCTGAAAAGAAGCCTTGTAAGCCTTTCTTTTGTCCACAGGCATCACATCAACATAACCACCATGATTTCGAACCACTCCAGCATGTACTGCTGCTCTGCAGATACTGGACACCTGAGAAGGCAAGCAAACAAACAAACCGGCATTAGTGGAAATTCCTGCTGGACTTGTCCAGGCTATTCTTCTATTATTAATAGGTTGAAGTCACTGACATCTGGATGTCATGGACAGCCATGAGCAGCTATAGGATGAGGTTTTGTACATAAAGGAGTGTCTGCAACATCACAAAGTCAAAGCCAATTCAGATCAAGTCTGAAGGCCAACCTAAGGGTGGCTGTAATAGTAAGAGCCCTCTCCCATCTAATCTACCAAACACCTGTTCTGTCCAAACAGTACGCTTTAGAGTATCAAAGCAATAAAAAGCAAATTCGCTTCTTTTATCTCTTTTAGGGCCTGTTTGTCATTCTTAAATTTTAGCCTTTGTTCTAAACTGGACTCACTCTGACCAGTGTTCACAGGTTAGATTACTCATCCCTCATGTATGTTCGCTTTTGCCTAATGCAAATTCCACCATAGTTCTGCATATGATTATGGCCTCTGTTCCAAAATACAAGAAATGGGGCAGTTTTTTTCTTAGTAAATAATATAATCTACACAGAGAAACTTTGCCAAAGAACAACCCAAAAAAGAAAAAAAATGAAGAACCGTTATAGCTTCTACTTAGATTTGTAATGCCTGTCAGCTTAGTTTGAATGGCCTGACATGAAATACTAGGAAAGTTCTATGATTACATCATACTAGTCATAGGATCTGAATTGAATGGGATTTCTATGGAGAAGAAAATTACTGTTTCAGGTCCAGTACTTTCAAATTTTTAAAACTACTGAATTCTAAAAGTCAGATTATTTCTTTTGGCCCATTAAAATCTTCTCAAGATTTTATCATTTGCTTTAGTCCAAATGTTTTATCAAAATTTGGTAATAACTAAGTACAATCCAGGGAAATCCCACCGAACAAATACTTGAACTGTTTCAGTATAAAGCAATCCACGTCAAATGCGCATGGGTCTTTTCTGATCCCATTGGTGTCTTCTTTTCTTATCTCTATGCACATGTGGGTGATTTAATATGCTTTTTTAAGTTCACATAAGCATGTATATCTTACATGACCTTGCTTCATTACTGTGTTGTGAACTCTAGAGCATCAGTCAGTATTTATTAGATCAGAGTGTGAATGCCAAACTGTTTAATCCTTTCCGTGCTTTTGCTACATTACAAAGTATCATGCATCTAAAACCTGCACCCTTACTCAAAGGCATTTTCTTCACCGTTTATAGTCCCACTGAATTATAATAATATTTGCATCCAATATGGTTCCTAACAGATAGAATTAAAAATAATTCTGTGCACATTTCAGTATTTGTTCTGTTAAAAGGGTATTATCAGCATTTTTCCCAGGGTAACAATAGTGCTTAGATAAAATATTTACTAAGTCCAAGTACTTAATACGTTTTGAAACTATTGTATTGCCTGCATTTATGCAGTCAGCAGGCATTCCTATTTGAGTTCAGAGGTCAGAAGACATTTTCCTTCCATACTCAGACTTTATAAAAATTAATATCTGATGGAAAGAAAGAAGCATTTATCTGTGAAAACAGATTTTTTAAATGAATGCAGAAATTAATAAATTAAAACATTATAAATAAAAGTTCAAAGCAACAGAATGTACAGGGGCTAACCCTATAAATGGAAAGAAAGAAAGAAAAAGGAAGGAGGGAGGGAAGGAAACTGACTGATTGATTCTCACATTTCCATACTTTATTTGTAGAGAGAATGTATTTTGTGGGGCAGGGAAGACTGGCAATTAATGATTGAATCTCTGATTTTGTACCTGCTATATGACAGTAATCTTTATATTTGCAACTTACTCTTCAAAGGACCTATATAATACACATATTACCCATCCATTTCACTGAAGGTGGAAAGATAAAATGATCTCAAGATATGAGTTCTAACAAAACCTTAACTCTAATAGATAGATGGCTTTAAAGGTATAGAAGTATACAGGATATTTTGAAAGACTTTTGCTAGACATGATAAAAAAGTTCTCCTGCTTAAAGGGAAAATCTGAAAACTGTGATTTCTCTGGCAATCTCTAATGAGTTAAGATATGTGCATTCCTATATATTTCTTAATCTACTTGTTTTAACAAATATTTATGTACAAGGTACTTGCTTAATTTCTGATGTCACTATGTGCTCTAAGCTCTGTTTAGGCAGGACAAGTCTGTCTTGTTCACAGCTTGGCAGACATCAAATTAGTGATCAAAATTATGAATGAATAACCCAGCTTCTGCTCTCGAGAAACTTATAAACTAATAAAAGAGAAAGGGTAACAATCTTAATACCTAATAACATAGGCTAAGGGCCAAAAGGAAGAAACGAAGTTATAGGGGTTAAAATTAGGCCAACTTCATAATTGGGTTAGAAGGTCCAGCAACACAGCCTCACAGAGAAAGTGGCAATAATTTAGGTTTTGAAGTGACCACAATTTCAACACAAAATTTTCAAAAATATTATATTTCAAAAGAGGCAAGAATATAAGCACAAATGTGAAGACTAGCATGTTCAAGATACCAGCAGGACATTTCAGTGGCACATAAGACTAATGCAAATCTGGAGCTTGAGAGAGACTCAGAATTGAAGAATAATTGCAAAGGTAAAGCTGAACTGAAAAAAATCTGGACCTAAATAAGCTCACCAAGAGAAACAGGTGGTAATGTACATATTCAGGCCTCTTTACATGATCAAATTCCCTTAATATTCTATTGAGTATGTGCATAAGACATTTCCTAAATTTGCACTTGTAACTCTCTGGATTAGAGAAACCTGTAATAAGTGTTTGCCTCATAAAATGTAAGCTCATCAGCATACGCTTTCAGACTTTATCTACTCATTGTTGTGAGCTGGATTCCTCTCTCTCTCAGACTAACTTGGGTGAAGCTCCTTTTCATTCCGATTTTCAGCAGCTCAGAGACAAAGCTATCTGCTAGACTGATGTGCAGCTCATTTACTCTCAACTCCAATACTTTGTAAATGTCACTCATCCCACTAGAACATGTTCCCTGATCCTCGTTAGCAACTGACTTCAAACCTGGCTCAACAAGCACTTAACAGGCCTGGCACTTTGGAAGGCCAAGGTAGGAGAACTGCTTGAGGCCACACCAGCCTGGGCAATACAGTGAGACCCCATCTCTACAACAACAGAAAAACAGCCAGGCATGGTAGCATGTACTTGTTCTGCTAACTACTTGGAAGGCTGAGGAAGGAGGATCACTTGAGTCCAAGAGTCTGAGATTAAACTGAGCCAGGATCATGCCACTGTACTCCAGCCTCAGCAACAGAAGAAATTCTATCTCATTAAAAAAAGTACTTAACCATACTGAAGCCATCACAGCTTGTATTCCTTGTCCAACCACACTATAGTCATCTATTACAACATCCCCTCAACGAGTTCTCTTTTGCATATATTTTGATGTAGCATCTCTATGACTCTATGCTACATTTTAAATGGCTATTCGGCAGTGAAGATACTGTTTAGACTTTCAACAAATTCTTAATTGTCCAGTTTAGACCTCAAATGCCAAAAATTCAAAAGAAACATTTAAAAAAAGCAAAACACATTTTCCTTCCCAACAATTACTATAGACTATTTCATTATGTGTCTTATACAAAACATATGGGGAAAATATGAAGAAAAATTTTATCAAATAATTATACACTCACATCTTACATATGGATATTAATTTTTCAGTGATATGGATGTTTAACTCTTCTGAGAATGCATATTAACAAAGTCTGTTTCCTTGCTTTGTATATAAATGTGCATATATACATTTAAATATGTCTATACATTTATATATATGCATGAATATTGAGAGCTATATAAATTAGGATACTTACATCAGAATAAAATCGAGTTCCAATAACACGAGCATAATGTGGATTTGCTTGCATACAGTCACGAGGACAGTATACTCTGAAAAAAAAAGTATACATATAAAGTGAGCTGGTTACTTAAAACTTTCTTATTAGTAAAATCATTGCTATGCATATACAAAGTAAGTTTGACATTCTAAACCCTCCTCATTTTTTTTTTCCTGGAATAGGTCAATTGTACAAGCTCAGGCAGTAGACACAATTGCTTCTGTTTATCTAATTCTGTTTTGGAATAAATGTGATTTTTAAAAAATTTAGTCAGGAAGCCTTCTAATGTGGGGATTTGAAGCCAAAAGAAACATCAGAAAGCATCTCTATGTATCTGAGAAGTTACAACCCAATGTACCTGTAGAATTCAGTAAACTGCTAACTTGGAAAATCTGAATCATTGTCTGCCTCACACATCTCATAGTTTCTCTTCTCTATCTTCACATCTTTGGTATCTAATCCAATTTCACATTTTAATTATCATCTTTAAAAGGCTGATTTCCAAATCTATATTTCCAGTTGGGACTTCTTTTAATTCCAAACTTGTATATCCTACTGCTTATTCAATGTCTCCACTTAGCTAGAATAATCATCTCAAGCATATCCTAATCATCTCAAGCAAATTCCTAATCTAGTCCCCATATTTGTTCTTTTTGTAAAATTCCCATTGCAATAAACAGCACCCCCATGATTCCAGGTGCTCAGGCCAGAAATCTTTATTCCCAATCCCTTTCTTAATCTAACACCTTACATTCAACCCATCAGCAATTTCTATTGGCTATACATGAAAACATATTTAAGATCAGAGCATCCCTACACACGTCCATCATGATAACTCTGGGCCTTCCTTATAGTCTATGGTCTAAGTTACTGCAATAGGTCTTCTATATTTCTTCTACGGTCTCCCTGCCTCCAACTTGGCACTCTCCAATCTGTTTTCCATACTTACATTAAAACGTACAAGTCTAGCTGGGTGCGGTGGCTCATGCCTGTAATCCAAGCACTTTGGGAGGCCAAGGCAGGTAGGTCACCTGAGATCAGGAGTTTGAGACCAACCTGGCCTACATGGTAAAATCCCGTCTGTACTAAAAATACAAAAATTAGCCAGGCATGGTGGCGGGCACCTGTAATCTCAGCTACTCAGAGGCTGAGGCAGGAGAATTGCTGGACCCTGGGAGGCGGAGGTTGCAAAGAGCTGAGATTGCACCATTGCACCCTAGCCTGGGCCGACAACAGCGAGACCCCATCTCAAAAAACAAACAAACAAAAAAACTGTACAATGCAAACACATCGTTCCTCTGCTCCCAATTTTCCAGCAGCTTCCATCACATTCAGAGTAAATGACAAGAACCTCAGGATGGTCAATAATGGTCAATAAGCCCCGCATCTTCTGTCCCCAGTGCCTTTCTGACTTTATATTTTACTCTTTTCCCACTTTATCACCCTGCTGCAATCACACTGGCCTAATGGTTATTACTTAGACACACACAATAGGCTCCTGCCTTAGAGCCTTTGCATTTATCTTCTCTGCCTGAAATGCTCTTCCTCCAGAAATCTTCCTGCCTGACTGATACCTGGTTGGCTTAGCTCATTTAAAAGACATTTCCAAGCATTGTTGCTGTTGTTGTTGTTATTCAGGCTCTAAATACAATATGACCAAAAGCTTCTTATTTAAACATAGGGTCCAATTATCAATGTTTAATCAATCACATGATATTTTTTAAAAAACTACTCCCAACTTTTAAGAAACTGTCAAATGGTGTTTTACTTTTAATCAAATGGCTCTTCTGCATTCATACACATACACACCCGTCACTAAAAGGAAACAAACTAAAACTAAAAAAAAAAACAAAAAACACAATTTTATGTAGTAAATGAGACTCTAAGTATAACTACATGATAATCATTGGTGGATGATAGCATCAACAATTTTCCTAAAAGTATTCTAAACATACTTCAGTTGAAACTACCCTTGCCAACTGAAGCAGATCTTCCTTAAATAGCTTTTAAGAAATAGCTATAGTTCTTATTTCTAAAATTTGTATAAAACTGTATACTCTACACTGTATATACTTCACATAACATGGAAACCAGAAACACTTAAATATAAGTAGTACATAAATCTGAGTTTCCATAACTTTGAATTAAAGGGTTGATCGCTTAAAAGATGCTGTCTGGGATTTCTGCAGGAGGAAGGTTGTGCCCTTTGACTGGAAACTGATCTTATGGTATTTGAGAACTGCTGGACATTTACTGCCATCCTTATGGTTGTAAAACCACTTGCTCTGCAAACTCCTTGCCCATATTCAGCTGCTGGTTTGCCAAAATCAGTAGTCCGAGTCAGATAAAACAAATATTGGAGGAAGTTTTTGCTTATTTGTATATTCCAATCTGTTTTTAACAGCTTATTATACACTACTGAGGAGATAGGTAGTGGTCTAGCAAACATTTTTAACCTATAATTTGCCTATAAGCTTTGAATGAAAATGCTAACATACTTTAATGTCTACTTTTATATCTTGAGCATTCAATAAATTTTAAAGGCCTTATTGTTTTATAGATATATGTAAAACTAGATAACATTTCCTATAATTTTTATAAGACAGTAATAGTTACTATGTAATAACTGAATAGTTACTAAATAATAGAGTTTATTTCGAATTGTTGTACCAGACATGGAAACTTTCAAGGACATGACTTGCACGTAAATTTTGTTTTTTCAAGGTCTTCTTGAGCAAATTTCATTTAATGTATTTAGTGTTGTCATTTTTCTCCGGAATATACTATGCCTCTGCCTACTTAAATGACATAACATTCCAAAAGGGATGTACCAACTACATGGTTCCCCAAAAGTTATAGCCTGTCAAATAAATAATATAATTACAACCTAGTTTATGAAATTATTACAAATTTCATATGGGAAAAAGAAAAGACAATTGTATTTCACTGAAACAAAAAAAGGGAGAAGCTTTTCAGACTACTTAAGTCAATATTATGTATAAATTGTAATTTGTATGGATTTATTATATTGATAACTGTAAAGGCTAAAATTAAATTTAAAAAATTTATATCATTATCCTAATTTCTATGTTTTGCTTTCTGAAACAAGTCAAGAAAGAGGGAACTTGTTTATTAATGATTTACTTGATTTTTCCCTTTTGCAACAATATATAGTTTGTTTTATAGTTATAAAATTACTGTTTAGTCTTGCATGCTCTGCTCATGTACCCCAAAACCTATAATCCAATAAAAATTAAAAAAAAAAAAAAATTACTGTTTATTGATCATCTGCTAGTGAAGGCCTTTATGGTAGAATGATCTACAGAGATTATCCTTTATGATTTGGTCCCCATAAACCTACTCACATGGCTGACATAAGGCTAGGCATAATATTGATACTTAGTAGGTATTTAATAAATATTCATAAATTTAAATTCTAAAGTTCCTGTTTTTTTCAAAGGAAAATGAAATGATGCTAAAATTTATAAGCTTCACCTACCAATACATCTTTACTTTTTTTTCTATAAAAATGTAATTTGTAAGTGTAAGGGGCTTGAGAAAGCTGAAAAAATATTGAAAAAATATTTCTGCAAAATTTCTAAGACTACAGAACAATGATTTAATCAAAGATGTGAGCCTTAAGAACATAATTAGTCGAGCTCTAGTAACAGGAGATTATATTTTTATCACAAAAATATTCAGCATATAATTCATTGGTGGTCAGATGGTAAAAAGTATATGATGTACTTCACCCAGTAAGAGGTCCTCAAATCATCCTACATACTTGATAATCTGCTGATTTCGGTAAACACACAAACCGAAGAATTTTTAAATTCTCAATTAGCATGAATCAAGTTAGCTGACCAAAAACATTACAACAGCAGTCTTGCATTAGTAGAGACACATTATTTTAAAGGAAACAGGTTGGCTACATGTATGTGACAAAATTTATTGTTTATATCATATCTGTAACTTAGAAACTGATAGAAAATGAAGTACTCTGCTATATCAAGATCACAGTCTTCCGTAATAAAGATTCTGTTATGTACCTTGTGAACAACCAACCCCATTCTTTAAGGGAAACATTGCTTTTGTTATAAAAGGGTAAGTAATAAAGTTTTTCCCAAGTAGATAAACTTTTCCATAAAAATAAGCTCCTTAAATTTTTAAGCTAAAATATTTTATCAAATTACATTTATATCTTTAAATCTCATTACTAGTTTTTAGAAGTAGTGTGGATACTTGCATTAATGGAAATAGTGTGGATAGAACTAATACTAAATATATGGAGACATACTTTGTTTTCCTATTACTGATTATGGATTATAACCATAATACTTTTAACAGTTTTCATCTTAACTTGGCCAAGATAAATCAAGCTTTTTTCATTATTTTATAGTACATAAATTCCATTATAACTTTGTAAAAGAGAATATACAAAACAAAAATAAATAAAGGTGAAGATGGGCTTTTTAACTTACCAAATGCAATCAGACTGATCTAATTAAAAAACTGGATAATAATGTTAAAAAATAAGCATTATGGGGCTGGGCGTGGTGGCTCAAGCCTGTAATCCCAGCACTTTGGGAGGCCGAGGCGGGTGGATCACGAGGTAAAGAGATCGAGACCATCCTGGTCAACATGGTGAAACCCCGTCTCTACTAAAAATACAAAAAATTAGCTGGGCATGGTGGCGTGTGCCTGTAATCCCAGCTACTCGGGAGGCTGAGGCAGGAGAATTGCCTAAACCCGGGAGGCGGAGGTTGCGGTGAGCTGAGATGGCGCCATTGCACTCCAGCCTGGGTAACAAGAGTGAAACTCCGTCTCAAAAAATAAAAAATAAATAAAAAATAAGCATTATGCCATTTAAGTTTCTGTTGTAAGAAACTGTTATGAACTGAATTATTTTCTCCTTTCAAGGTTTATATGTTGAAGTCTCAATCCCCAGTTTGATTGAACTTGGAGACAGGGCCTCTATGAAGGTAATTAAGGTTAAATGAGGTCATAAGGGTGGGTCCCTCATCCAATAGGATTAGCATCCTTATAAAAAAAGATTTAAGAAAGTGAACTGTCTTTCTCCCTCCACCATGTGAGGACACAGAGAAGGTGGCCATCTATAGGCCAGGAAGAGAGCCTTTATTAGGAACCGAATCAACCAGCACCTTGATCTTTAACTTCTCAACCTCCAGAACTATGAGAAATAAATTTCTGTTGTTTACACCACCCAGTCTATGCTATTTTGTTACAGCAACCAGAGCAGATTAATAAAGGACTCTTTGTAGCACAGATGACCATACAGATTACATGCATAAACTCTGACATTATAAAATAGCAGAGAGTACTTTTGCATTTGGAGAAAGCACACTAGGCCTGCCTGAAGTGCATGTAGTTTATGATGTTCCACTGCTCCCTCCTGTTTAGGAGTTCAAGATTATACAACTTTTGAATCCCAGAGATGCTAGAATTTTAGGTAAAAAGTTATAATGGGGCCAAAGCCCCCTATGCGTACACTGGCTTACCTTGGGCAATGTGAAGCAGGCTTATGAAATGGACAGAGCTGTTCCACAGTTGTTTCACAAGTCACAGCCTGAACTGAAGAATTAAAATACAAAACAATGAGTGAATCCTTTGAAAGCAATATCATACTATACAGTATTAAGAAAGTAAGATGAAAAATGTGCTCACCTGTTACTTTAGAGACTGTAAAGGAATTAGCAGACTGATATTTGCTGATGGTAAAAATACAGAAATGTTAATTATTTTCATACAGGCATCAGCAGCAGCAGCATAATTTCTGGCATCTTTCAAGTTTAAGAACACTTCATGTTCTTTTTAAACACTTATCAAAACAGACAAGTAGCAATATAAGAATTCATAATTTTATGGTAAATCCATATTACCATCAGGTATTAACCAAATCAACATTCTTAAGGTGATCTCTCTTCATTATTAATCTCAAAACTTATAGATAATAGCACGAAGCTATACACACACACACGCGCGCGTGTGCGCGCGCGCACACACACATACACATATCTGATTCCTATCAAAATTAAAATGCTCAAATACTAATTTCCCACCTCCACAGGACGAAACTATTTACACAACAGAAAATACAAGACAATGTTGTAAAGAGACTACGAAATTATACATACCTAAGCAAGTGTATATTATTCTTTTTTTGTTCCCCCTAGTATCTAGCAAAACATCTACAGTACAATGAAAAACCTTCTCCTCATTACATTCATTCTTAAAAAGCTGAAATATAAGATTAGGCACACAATTCTAGATCAACATTTTAATTGGTTTATGTACATCCAATTTTCAGAAAAACATCTATTGCAAAACGTAAGGCTTATTTGTGATGGTACTTTAACATGATATACTCTCTGAATACATTAGCTCAGAACTGAAGGTGTAAAATTTCAACAATTCTTTATTTCTGTCAGCTTCAAATTCAGTATTTAATATTCATTATCTATAATGAATATTATATAACATTCTTTGAGGCATAAAATATACAACCTATTAAACATAGCCTTCATGTTTCAAGAGAATTTCTATAATAGAGATAATTAAAAATTAAGAGAACAAAGTAAATAACAGGATAAAGTCCTTTAATGGAACACTCACTGTTTGGCTTACTAAAACTAATAAATATATTTATTGTTTATTGAAGTTAATTAGTAAACGTTTGCCAAGTAAATAGTTTAGTTAATAAATATTTCTATAGAACTTTTGGCAGCGTGTGGTGGCTCATGCCTGTAATCCCAACACCATGGGTGGCTAAGGCAGGAGGATCACTTGAGGTCAGGAGTTTGAGACCAGTCTGGCCAACAAGGTGAAACCCATGTCTATTAAAAATGAAAAAAATTAGTTGGACATGGTGGCACGCACCTTAGTCCCAGCTACTTGGAAGGCTGAGGCAGGAAAAGTTGAACCTCTGAGAATCTGTCTTAAAAACAACAACAACAACAACAAACTTTTGCTAAAATGAGTTATCACTAACAGCTAAAAACCACCCATCAAGGCTTTGAATAAAACTGCATAATAAGCTGGGCACAGTGGCTCATGCCTATAATTCCAACACTTTGGGAGGCTGAGGCAGGTTGATCACCTGAGGTCAGGAGTTTAAGACCACCCTGGTCAACATGGTGAACTCGTCTCTACTAAAAATGCAAAAATTAGCCAGGCATGGTGGTATACGCCTGTAATCTCAGCTTGTCAGGAAGCTGAGGCAGGAGAATCCTACGAATCCAGGATGTGGAGGTTGCAGCGAGCTGAGATTGCGCCACCGCACTCCAGTCTGGGTGACAGAGTGAGACCCTATCTCAAAAAAACAAAACAAAGCAAAAACAAAAACAAAAAATGTATAGGAAATTATTCCACAAATTTTTGAGAGTTCCTAATAGTTTTTTATAGTTATTAATTCTAACTTAACCCATCGTTACATTACATACAATTGTACTGCAGCAAAAGAGACAATGTCAAATTTCCTCAGAAAAGTCATTCTGTATTAAGTCCAGTAATGTTTATGGTTTTACTTGGAGGAAAAAAAAGACACTAAAATGGTATTTCAAAAGCCCCCGTTTTTCTACCTCTGCACAGTACATGCAAAAACACGTGGTGTTTTGGAGTAAGGTATTTGGTGTGCCTAATAGGAGATACATATATAAAACTAAATGCTTTTATATTGAGATACTTTTAAATGGACATAGAAAGATGACACAGCATAATACATATTTACAGTAACTTTTCAAAGCTCTCTTTTCTCTAACGTAATTTATCTTATTAACAAAGTTAATGTTGCATGAAATAAGCCATCTTTCTTCCCTAAACAGGACAGGAACAATATGCAAATGAATTAACCTTCTCGGGAGTATTTTCTGTCAAGCTAAAATATATATTGCTTTACACTGGGAATTAACTGTAAAGTTATATATTTTTAATGAAACTAAAAAATTTGGAGTTTTACCATGCCCACTACAAGCAAAAGAGTTTAACTTTAAACTTAGATGCTTTATCTTCTTTTTGTCAAAGAAAATTATAAGCTAAAATGAACCTTGAAAATTACCAAATTCTTTCCTCTTAAATAATTCTATGCTTTGCTCTTAAAAAATGTGTTAGCTCATTACAATTTAAACTTATCTGGCCCAAAAGATTATTTGGGTACTTACCTAACTGATTCAACACCATTCCTACTGGAATACATGAAATACAGTTTTCTTCCTTGTCTAGTGATATCTACCCAACCACCATCATTGTCTATTATGCCATAATGAATTGCAGCTCTACAGATGCTGGAATGCTTGGAAAAAAAGAAGGAGATAAAAAGATGTTAAAAATATCAGAGTTCTGTGTAAGTCCTAACTACCTAGCACTTACATGAATTTAAATCAAACATTTCTGAACAAAATATCTATACTTATATAAATTGTTATTTTGCACAATAAAAATTAAATATATGGAAGGACTCTATCTCCAAATAATTATATTTATAATATATTTATAATACTTACCATATCATAATGTACACTGCCAATAACTTTAGCTGTACTACTCAAACAGCCAGCAGGACATTCGTACCTAAATAAAAGTAATTGGGCACAAAATTTAGCTCCTCTGAATGTCAACACAAAATAAAAATATTTCTTATATTCTGTCAATAAATTTTCAAAATAATAAAAAATATTACCTATTGCAGGTTGTTCCTTTGCACTGATCTCTTAATTTTACTTCACAAGAAACAAATTGGGCTAGAAAGAAAAAAAATACCAAAATAACTTAAAAATATAAAAGCAGCTATAATTCATTATATATAGCCTAATGACAAAATTTTTTCCATTCTAAAAATGTTCAAATTAATAAAATCTTGATGGATATACCATTTAGGTACTTTAAAAATTTTATAAATAAAACAGAGGTCTTACACATTTGCTGTGTGCTTATGACTTCGTTTCTGTTACTATTATCTGATCTTGTATGGACATGGGTGTCATGAACTTCTGACTGCTGTCCTTCTATTTCATTTGTTTCCTCTTCTTGAGGGGCATAATAATTGTCTGATCCTTCTGTTAGAGAAAGCATAATTAGGAAATATTAACTCTATTTTACATGTGCACAAATTATCAAATAATAACATACTTTGATACTCCTATTTAATATTTAGAACTAGAAAAATCAGTACTGTTTTTTGCACAGATTTTTAGCTTAAGGTGATGACCTTTGGTACTGCATTGGAGTAAATGAAACACACATATAAGCCTTTAAGTCCTTGATTCATTTATATTAATGTTTGACTAATATTCAGTGAAGCCACTTCTAAATTCTGGTTACATTTCAATGTATCATTGTTTGATTTTCATAATGGCAACATGAAATCCTCACAGTGATCTAATAAGGTCATGGCTTAGCAAAATCAAATTTGTTTTCAATTAAAATCATATTCTTAATATTTTCAGGAGGATCACATTTAGAATTCTCTGAAATGGAAATGTGGCCTAAAGAAGGACTGACATGCCATTATTATTTATGACAAAATCCATTTCCATAGAAAGGTATTTTTCCTTTAGGAGGAAATTCAACATGCAGAAATTTAACTGTGACTATGGAGAATAATTTCAAACTTTGAATTCAATGGTTATTTTTCCAGATTGGCCTTTATCAAAGGCTTGACAATGGCACATTCTGGAGAGGCATATTATTTTGATATATTCCTGATAACTCAGAACCTAAAAAAAAAGTATGAAGTCACAGGAAAGTCAGCTTTAAGTAAAAGATAATGGTCATTGTTGAAGAGGCAGGTAGGTTGGAGGTTTGGACATAGAGAAAACACCCACATAAAAAAAATGCTGCAAATTCTTCCAGGAATTTTAAATAGCTTATACAACAGAGGGACACATATGGGCACTTCTCGTCTACTCATTTTGGTTAATGCATCATTAAGGGGAAAAAAGAGACACATCTCATTATGAGCACTGAAAGGGGCTGCAATTGTTCACATATTTCCTGATACACTTAGTCTACATTATTCCTCATTTAATCATCATTGAGAAAAAAGTACAAGGCAGTAAGAAATGTTCACTTGAATGCACAAAACCATGACTTTCCACAAAGCTTTGTCCTAACAGTTTACCTTTAGGTGCTATAAATAGAAAAACATATTTGCTTTTTAAGACATCAAATGCATTTGAGAGTAATACTTTTACAGTAGTTTTATATTACTATTATACTTTTCTCATTTTAGCTTGAGAAATTGAATAATGTGCAGTGAGAAGTGAAAAATCAGTATAATTCACTGAGCATGTTTCAATAAGATACAAAAAGGAGAATCTTGTTAAAAATGTTTTAAGTTCTAAAAATAGTGTTAAATTACTAACTCCTTTAAAAATGATGACATTTATGGAAATAACTCTAGTTAACAATACATCAAGATGATTGTTAAGAATATAAATATACTTGTCATTCTGGGGTAATTTCAAAGTAGAATCAGAAATAGTTACCTAAAATAACCATGGAACTTTAAAAACTTATATTAGTAAAACAGGTTTATTATTCATATAAATATTTTTAAAAGGTTTCTTCAAAATATTTGAAATAGGGCTCTAGAGACTTTTCATGTAATCATTAAGTGCATTTCTGGCTTTTTTAAAACATAAGTAATGCGGAAGCTGGACTAAAATATAAATCAACATGAATACTACAACACAATAGCACTTACCTTTGTAGCACAGATTTTCTCTACAGCCCCCTCCAAAACTAGGTGGGCAAGCAGAACAGGGCTGTCCATGTTTGTAAGGGGCATGCCCCCACCAGTTTCCCCTTTAAGAGATGATATACCCTCTATTAAAAAGTAGTCTAAAGGAATAACTTGAAAATATTGTGAAACATTTCTATATATGAACATTCTAAGCAATTATTTTGGTGTATAGATTTAAGACATTTATATAGTTTTTTTACAGAGCTCTTTTGGTTACTAGGTTTAAATATAAATTACTGTCTTGTTTTGAAATTTTCCAAAGTAATTTACAACATACATCGTAAAAAAACTACAAACTTTTTCAGAAAGCTAAACTCTGCCATGAAATATTCACTTATGTTCCATTTGTTTTAATAGAAACACATATTAAACTTGAATTTGACATTAATTAAAGTTGTGTCACATTGTTAATATAATCCCTTCAATGGTCTTTACACAGATGAAAATACATTTTTCAATTAATGTATAATTTTTAATCCCTAATAAATAATTACTCAATATTTATGGATATTATAGTTAAGTAAGTAAAACTGAAGACATAAAAATATTCACAAAAATCATACTTTCATATCCCCCTGTAAGCATTTATTTTATGCATTAGGCAACTATAGTTGTTGCCATATTAAATAAACAGAATTAAAACAGTACACTTTACTCAGTAATACACACTGCAAATGGGAAATAATCAGAACATAAAGGTATTTTCATTTTGTTTTAAAAAACTAACAGTTGAACATAGTGTTTTGTCTACTCACTTTGGGGAGTAATTGCACACCATGTAGACAGCTTTGGGCCAAATCTGACCCCAGATGTTCATGTTATGACACAAATTAACGGCACAACCGACTCTGTTACTAGTTGCCCACACCACCTATATTAGAAAAATGAAAGGCTCAGAAAAAGCAGGCTGAGATCAACATGCATAAAATCTAAATGTGAGAAACCAACATTTATCATTCAAAATGAACTGAGACTATATCAAAAAAAGGTCTTTTTCCTGAGACTTTGAGTAATACCTAATTCAATTTTAAAAAGAGAGCTACGGAAAAATACTGTATCTGGTTATAAAATGCAAGCATTTTCAAATGCAAACTTAGTAAATAATTGAAAAATTACATCCTCACAAACGTAATTGCCATTTTAACATTTCTATGAAGAAACAAACAGAAAATTGCCTCCTAAACGGCAAATACTGGAGCAAAACTTTACATGTTCAGATTTCTTATACAACATGATGTTTTCATCATGCTACTGGTTATTAAGTAGTTTGATGCTGGCCTTAATTTTATCACATGCAGAGCATACAGAACAATTAGTCTGCTTTTTATTCACTGATGATAAGTCTGAGCAGCAGTGAGCTTTATCTAGTTAAATCTGCATTTAGTTGTTGGATTTGGAAGTTTAGAACACACCAAATATGAAAACTTAATATAAAAATATACATATGTTGCACATGTAAATATTGAATGTTGTTGGTAAATACTTTGAAAATGATATATTTCTCCCCATACTACTAGGCCCATATTAAAAATGTTTGATATGCAAAATCATTTAAATAATGTCTTTTAAAGTAGATGTTTGGACTTTTTTGTGTGATACTTTGTTTACAGAACTTCGTAAGCCTATTCAACATAATCAATATACATTTTTTAATAACCATATTAAGTGATATAAAAAGACAAGTTCATCAGCCTAATTTCTTTCATAGTTACATTAACTCAGTTTGGGGGAATTAAATATAACACCCTGCAAACATACCTGTGTATAATGCGAACATACAGAACCAGAACACCTGAATGGACAATATGGGTTGCATTCATGTTCATATGGGTAGCTAAAGTCTTTCACTTCATCATACCATGCTTGTACATGATACGCTGGGGGCCTATATCTATTAGAAAGAAAATAGTCATAGAGGGCAAGCAAAGTTGGAGAAAATACAAAACTAAACATTGCAAAATACATTGGTATAATTTGGTAAAAAGATGCTTTGTGTGATTTATTAAACTTAAATATTTATGACCATTACATAACTAATAAATTGATGATTTACATTAAGGTCTAAAAAACTGCTGATTGTTCTAGTGTGCTATTTATTTGTTACTTGTTTCATGATTACTTTTCTTCCAGGCACCAAGTCTTTGAAAAATTGCAATGATGAATTAATAAGCATTTCATTTTAAACACTTATGTTTTTAAAAACAAAAAATTATGCTTTAAGATACCTTCCCCAGTGTGCTCCCAAATTCTGTCCAACTGATGAAAGCAAGCTTGCAGGTCCATGTTGCCACAAGCAAGCTTCAGCCCAGGATTCTGCAGCTCTTTCCAGCTCGATATCCCATGTCTACAGTTTAAAACAAAAGCAAAATGCACACATGTAGCATTTGGACACTTCTTCAGAATATAGTGTTGAGCAGTTCTTACATCTTCTTCTTTCTTTCTTTACAAAGTCAGCATCATAAATGCTGGATTCTCACCAGACTCAAAAAATCATCCATGTTTGCAATAGCCTCCAAATCAATCTCCATGTTTCTATCTCTTAACCCTCCAAATTGCCCCACGTGTTTAGAATTACTTAAGTAAACACAAATATGCTGAAGTGATTCCTCTGTCTAAACACAAAAATAAATCCCCATATACATAAAGTCCAAGATCCGTGCTCCCACTGTTCCCTCTCATAAAAGATACAAGGCCCTGCTCTTGCCAACATTATTTCCTCTGCCTAAGCATCCTTCTCCCAGTTATTTGTCTGACAGGTCCCTGCTCTTCCATCATAATCCAGCTTTATAAAATACTTTTTCTGTGACATCCTATCAATTCTTTTAGATGTAAGCTACCCCTTAGGGACTCTTAGGGCTTTGTTACATTCCTTTGTTTAGCACTTATTACATTGTAATGTTAGTATTTGTTTACATAACTATCTCTTTCATGAGACTGTAAATTTCATGGGGCAGTGCTGCTGGTATCTTTGATGTATTTTCTAGTATCTATTATCTGGACAAGGTGATTAATAAATGCTTGTTAAATATATGAATAACTAACAAATCTGATTCTTATAAAATATTTATGTATTTTAAACAAAATTAAATGAGGATAACTAATTCATACTTTTAAAACAATTTTTAACAAAATAATTTAAATCGCTGATTAAATTATTTTAGTGAAATGATTACTGAAATAATTTTGCAAGTTCTGGGTTTAGTATTAACTTGAAAAATATGCAGTATGATATGTGTGGTGGTAAAAACACCAAGTTCAGTAGCCCTGGGTTCAATCTTAGCCCTACAATTCCAGGACTCTGGGCATGTTATGAAGATGGGAAAACAAATCTGGGTGTGGAATCTGAGGACAAACCTAAGTGATTTTGATGAAGCTGGAAAAGAGCTTCATCAAACGATGTTTAGGAATTTAAATTCCTAGAACTTGATAAATGACTACAGTAAGTGGCAAGGAAAAGAAAAGGTAAAGACTGAAGATACTACCAAATTGGTAGAAAGGAAACAGGGAAAGAGAAGTAGATGGTTATAAAAAAATTGAGTGTCTATGTATTTCCATGAATATTTCAAGAGTGATGTAATGGGGCACATATGCCAAGTAGAGAGTAGAGCTACATGACTGAGACTCCAGAGGAAAAATAGAAAGATATTTTTCTGAAGATATGAATCTTAAAGTTATTCACCCAGAGATAAATTTATTTGGGAATATGATTTAGAGCAAGAAGAGGAATAATAAGAATAAGAAAATTCTGGGATTATCAAAATCTAAAGGGAAAAAAAAAACAAGAAGATAACAAAAGAAGCCAGGCAAGACAGGATAAAATACGTTAAAGAAAAATTAATTAATATGAAATTATAAAAGCAATGAGAGACAGAAGCTATTTTGGGAGTAGAGTGGGTAACAAGTTTGAATGACACAGAAAACTGAGATTTCCTAAGTACTAATTCATGACTAAAGGCAACTTCAGATCAAGATGAGTGAAGAAATCAGAACACAGATCATTAATAAGTGAAGAGAAAGTAAAAAGTACAGAAAACAAATGTGAGTTACTTTGTCAGTACTTTAGAGAGGAAGAAGAGAGATGTGGTTGAAGCTATAGATGAGATGCCAGAGTGTAGGGAGAATTTGTTCACTTGCTTTGATTTTTTAAGGATACAGGAAATCTAATCACATCAATACACCAAGAGGAAAACACCTTAGGGAGAAGGAGCCATGGAAAAAAAATATGCTTGAGGAGACCTTTCCTAATTTATCAATTTTTCATAAATGAACACTCTTCCCCATTCCATTGTGGCTTCGAAATACCTATCATGTCACAAAGGAAAATTCATACAAAATTAGAGTAAGTTTATTCTCATCATTAATGTACCTTAATTTTCTAGCAAAACTACAAAAAAATGTGTATTTATATGCAACTAAAAAATAAGAGCAGCAAGAGTTGTTGCTTTTCATAAAAGTTTTAATTTTACTTTGAATTAGTGTCAAATATTCAAGATGACTGGTTTTAAGATACAGACATCAGAAGCAAATGCTATAAACAAATATTTATCAGGTATACTTTATTTGCCAGTTATGGGCATTTTATTAGTTAACTTTACCATTTAACTTTGACCTAATTTTATAATTACATATAATTTTTATTACACAAAAGTATAATTCAAGTACAGTCACTATTTGTCCAAAGAAGAGTTAGGTAAGAAACAATGAATTTGGCTAAAGTCCCAGAAAATGGGCAACATGTTTATTTCCTTTTGTATCTAGAAAGTTGGAAAAGCAATCATCTCTCAAAAGCAAACAGGTTTCCAGGTAGAGTTCCCTAGAAACACAGGTTGTCCTCAAGGGATAAATTCTTGTCTGCAATCCTGAAAATCAGACTCTTGCAGAGTACTCTAGTTATACACACGACATAATTACACTTGTCCATAGGTTTTATTAATGTATCAAACTCATATTCAAAGAGTAGCGAGAAAACAGTTCCTAGAAGGCTAAAAATAATTGCTTTGAAACAATTGTGATGGTTTTAAAATACCCTTCCCACCAAAGGTAGAGTTGAATTTCCCCGTCTCCTCTTGAATTTGAGCTAAATAGTGACTCACTTCTAATAAACAGAAAGAAGCTGGGAGACTTCAGTAGCTGAGTTAGGAAAGAAAGCTTCTGGTTTTTTGTTTTTCTGCTAAGACACATCCTGACAGAACTAAGCCAATGAATTAGAAGTCCAGTTACCATGAATAGGCAGCTGGAAAGAAAATATGGAGAGGCCACACAGAGACAGAGAGATACGGATAATGCTCCAGAGATGTGAGTGTCTCCAGCGTAGGCCTCATGTGACCTATGAGTTTGCGAGCCCTCTGATGATGGCAACACAAGTCAGGGAAATCGTGAGACACCTCAAGTGAGGACCATTCAGCTGAGCTCTTAGAAGAATCCTTAAAGCCTCTACTCAAGGTCAATTTACTCGTTTCACACATGATTCTACAATCTTAGATGTCAGTTTCCCTATAAATTGAAAATAGACCCTTTTTAGAAATGATATACAACTAGTTCCAAATGAGTTTAAAATACTTACTACAGGGTATTTCAAGTGTGTTTATATTTCAAGTTAGCTTATATTTCTGTTCTTACCTGTATAGAAATTGGAATAAAATGTAAAACATATCTTTCAAATACTTTGGGCTAATTTTTCTTATTTGTAAATTTGTTAGCTGAAATGGAAGGTAACTCAGATCCTTTGAGGACTAAAATTCAATGCTGAATATGTACAATGCAAAATCTGTATTTGAGGTATAACTTATGATTTTATTTAATCCATTAAAAATGGAAAAAGCATACTGAATATAATACAATATTGCTAAAACAAGGGCATACATTATTTTAATATAAGTGCTGAAGCAGAGGGGCATGCAACTAAAATTTGGTTCTTTATCAATATGAATATTAATTAGTGACTAAAGGTAATTATTCAAAAAATTGAATAAAGCATAGGCCAAGTTCAATAATACAAATAAAGAAAAGTCTTAAAAACTTACTGAAAAAAATTCTATCATGACTTATCAATAAGCACGGTACATTTTTTTAATGCTACAACATATTTCAGGCTTTAAAACTGCCAATAATTCATACCCATACCATTAAAGGTAGGTTAGTCTCTACATATTTCTATTTAAATTCAGGTTTGCAAATTAAATCAAGATGGTCTAAAGAGCTTTGTTCTTCCTCTGAACTATCCACCCAGCACTAATTTAGAGTCAAACCACACTACAATTACCATTTTTCTATAAAATGGGTACTTGGGTATCCATTTCTATACACTTGAGGTGTGCAAAAATGAAAACAACTCTATTTCCTAACCACATCTGAAAGCTGTTCCTTCCTCGAGCATAGCTAAGTCTTCAATGAAGTTATATTACTTAAAGAAATATTTAGAATACTATTGACATTCTTTGTCACCAATGATCTTTTTAGTTCAGCATGAAGGCTTTCTCATTTCAAGTGTGTATATGAGAAATTTTAAAATTTGACAAATAACTTTCAAAATTAAACCAGGCCAAGCATAGTGGCTCATGCCCATATTCCCAGCACTTTGGGGGAGGCCAAGAGTTCCAGACCACCCTGGGCAATATATGGAGACCTGTCTTAACAAAAAGTAAAAAAAAAAAAAATTTAGCTGGTGCATTGTCATGTGCATCTAGTCCCAACAAGTTGGGAAGCTGCGGTGTGAGGATGAAAGGAATTTGAGGCTGCAGTGAGCTATGACAGCTATGATCATACTACTGCACTCTAGCCTGGGTCACAGTGTAAGACCTTGTCTCTAAAAACAAACAAACCAGACCAGGCGCGGTGGCTCATTCTCATAATCCCAGCACTTTGGTAGGCCTAGGTGGGCAGATTATCTGAGGTTAAGAGTTCAAGACCAGCCTGGTCAACATGGTAAAACCCTGTCTCTACTAAAAATACAAAAAAATTAGCCGGGCATGGTGGCAGTCACCTGTAATCCCAGCTACTAGGGAAGCTAAGGCAAGAGAATCACTTAAACCCAAGAGTCAGTGGTTGTAGTGAGTTGAGACTGCGCCATTGTACTCCAGCCTGGGCAATGGAACAGGACTCAATCTCAAAAAAAAAACAAACTAGTAAACCTATGAACACATAGTAATTTTAGTACTAAAATATCATAGAAATGGGAAATTATGTAGCTATCTAAACACATATGAAAATTTAATTGACTGCTATCCTTTGTGAAATATGAATAAGCATATGCAAGTCATATTCTCACTGGAACACCTGCTATGTTGCTCTAATAAGAGTCAATGACAGCTGGAAATCATTCAAGAATATAATTTAAGCTCGCAA